TTTTGCTATGAACCTAAAACTGCTTTGCTCTTGTCTGTTTTTCAACTCTCCCTCCCCTCTCCTTGGCAACCTCTTGCTATTTGGTATCCAGTTTTGCCTTCACAAACGCCATACAGTTGTAACCATACAGCCTTTTTTGTTGTTGCAGTTTGTCCTGGGCAGGGCTCCAACCCACCACCCTCGGTATATGGGGCCCCAGGGGCCTGGGGTGGGGGTCCCACTCACTCAGCTACAGGCACCGCCCAACCATACAACCTCTTCAGATTGGCTTCATTTAGTAATATGCATTTATAAGACCCTTCCATGTCTTTTCATGGCTTGACAGCGCTTTTCTTTTTAGCACTAAATAGTGTTCCATTGTCTGGATATACCACAGTTTATTTACCTTTTCACCTATGGAAGGATACCTTGGTTTCTTCCAAGTTTTGGCCATAATGAATAAAGTTGCTAAAATATCTGCGTGCAGGTTTTTGTGTGGACATTACGTTTTCAATTCATCTGGGTAAATACCAAATAGTTGTGACTGCTGGGTTACAAGAGTACGTTTAGCTTTGTTAAGAAACTGCCAAACTGTCCTTCTCTGATTTTTAATTCTTTCTTATTCTTGTGTCTGTACATGCCAATCAAGTTGTTTCCTTTCATCACATTTAAAGCTTTTCAAACAATTGCTATCTCACTTTGCACTCACTTTATATCTGCAAAGCACTGTCAAACACTCAAAACTCGAGGAAAGCCTGACCAATAAAGAAGATAATATCCTCAGAGGAGCTGAACAATGTCAGATGAAAGAATAATTGACTTGTGACTAACTTTACTAAAGTGGTAGGTTCATTCATTATTTTCATATTTTGATGGCTTGCTTGCCTCAGCTGCAGTAAGATCTTCCTTGTTCAAACTAAACCCACACTCAATAAAAATGAATATGTTTGAATAGATATATGGATATGAAACACATGTAATTATCAAAATTAGCAAACAGATCTCAAGTATTTGTTTTAAAAAGCAAAATTTTAACATACGTTACAGGAGCCCTAGTCTCTATCTGAATTCTACTACAAACTTAGAGAATTGTATTTCAAGGTCTGGAGTAGGGCAAGAAACAAGTTAAGACCATTAAATAATGCCAAATAGGTAACAACAATCTTGTTCCACTCCCTCCAACCAAGTGCGAACAATGTTTTTTAATTAACTTGAAGCTCTTTGTTCTGTGATTTAGCAATAAAGTGTATGAATTTCACAAATCTGCTACACAAACAAGAGAAACTTACACATCTCAATGTTTACTTTTCTAAAACAAATTTAATTTTGCAAGATAAACAGCAAAAATTCCAACTATGCATCTTATCAAATCAAGATGTGTTAATGCTATTTATACACATTTCTGCTGTTTAAATGTGATAGGTATCAGAAGAAGAATACTTACACATGTATACGCCCTACAGTTTTTTATTGTATTACTAAATAGTGCAAGAAATTTCTTTGGCCTGACAGTGTAAATTAAGTAGCTGACAAAGCTCATTTTACAAAACAGAAGCCAATTCCTAAAACTGGCAAACTTAAAGAACTGGGATACTGACAGGATGCTTTGAAATAAAGAAACTTTGCAATCGTAATTATCTTCTTTCAGCTGGAAAAAGTAAAACAGTATGAAAGGAAATAAAATCCACAGCAGGAAACAGGATACCACCAGTGAGTGGCAAGATTTTTACCAATTTCAGAACAATGGAAAATGGATGGAATCAAAAGCTATTCCAACAAGAAGGGCTTAAAGTCAGTGGGCCCAAATAGGCAGTAGCATAGTAACATGGAAATTAGTCAGTCTTCCTCCTCCCTTCCCACTCTCCAAACAAAAAGTCCACAATGGTTATGGGTACCACAGGATAAAGGAAAAAGTTCTTCTTCTTCTTCTTTTTTTTTTGTAATGAAGAGCTAGGCCCCCACTGTGAATATAGGTGACAGAGAACAGAAGGGAAGCTTGGGCTAACTTTTCCATTCACACTGAGGGGATAAAGCTAAGATAGCTACACTCAGAAGAGAGCTGCTATATCTCTACTATAAAGCCTGGGCAAAAGGAGGGTTCCCAGTCTATCTACCTGGTCCCTGATCACACCTTCCTGTCTAGGCCAGCTGGCACAAAGAGCCAATAGTCAAGTAGCCCTCTCATGTACTGAAAAAGCCTATTATTTATATTCAACAAAATATGAAGATACCAGTATACATTAGATGTTTGAGAAAAAGCACCAAAAGAAGGAAAAAGGACCAAAAAGTAACAGAACTGACCAACAGTCAACACATTAATTCAGAAAATATATAATTTTTTATTCTAATTATTACCTTCATAGATTCAAAAGACTATATACATGCTATAATAAGAAAAGGCCGCTGCATCTAGGACATGTTGTTTACTGACTCAAAGAATAAAAAGTGCAGAAGGGAAGAAGAGAAGGAGGCAGTGTGAGATACCATAAATACCTAAATTTATCCATAGTCGAAAAATTAAAAATAAAGAGAGGGGTGTTGATAATTATCTAGCTTGGAAAGCCCATGGGAAAAGGGTATGGGGACAGTGTGGCGACTTTACTTTTCATTTTTGTATCACTTATAATGTCCAAATTTTAACTATGTGCGTGTATTAAATAATAATGTTTTAAGTTTTAGCCAGAAAAAAATGGCAAGGGTTAACTATCCTCAAACAAGTGCTAAACTTTCTGGCGATAATAATGTTGGAGATTTACGAAGATAGCAAATTTCAAACTCAAGAGATTAAGGCCCCTGCCATTTCCTCAAAAAGCAGATAAGATATTTTGGAGCCTTTCTGAAAACTCGTCTAACGGCTATAAAAATGCGGGATATATGCAAAACCTACGGAATCGGCCGGAAAAAAAAAACCCGGTTCCCAATCCAAACCCCAAATTGGCAGTAGCAGCCGGCACCAGGAGGGGTAATACCTGTACGCCGGGGCGCTGCGGCAACTCGAAGACCTGACAGTCACAGAGGCCAAGGCCACAGAGAGAGACACGGTGGCTAAAGCCTTTCCCAGGAAGCGTCCGGCCATCGGCGCCCAGCGGGCAGCTTCGAGGAGCTAAGTCAGTCTTAGCTGGGCCTCACCTTCCGCCCGCCCTACAGCTCCGAGCCCCGGGTATCTAGCCGGCACTAGGACCCGGCCGCCCTCTCCCGTCCCGGAAATAGGGTAGCGACATCTAGCTATAAACACAGAGACCAGAAGCCCTAGCAAAATACCAAACGCTTTCCCCAGTGCAACGAGGAGGTCCAAACCAGCCTGGGATGCCGACGCTCCCAGCGTCAGGTGCCGGGAACCGCGACCCGGGCCCCGAGACGTCCACAGTGCGTGACGACGCTTTACGGCCGCGCCGCAAAGCAAAGGGCGTGCCATTGGTAGCGCCTTCCGACTTCACAGTGCGCGCAGGCGTACTTGAGGCGCCATGCCCGGGGTGAAAAGCCCAGGCAGCGAGACAGCCAAGGTTTCGTGAAAGGAAGGGAAGCAGAAGGGGAGAAAATAGGGAAGAAATGGTATTTGGGAAAAGTCTGTTGCCCCTTTATTTTTAAGTATGAAGGGGTTATATTCCTAGTGATTTCTTGAACAATACGTGGTTACGCGAAGAGGAGGTATCCAAGAGACTTTGAATCCATGTATCTTGAGGTTTTTCTCTTATTTTTAAAGAAGTTGGGCTCGGCGCCTGTGGCTCGAGCGGCTAAGGCGCCAGCCACATACACCTAAGGTGGCGGGTTCGAATCCCCAGCCCGGGCCCGCCAAACAAAATGTAGAACTATTTTTTCAAGGTCTTTAAA